TTTGGGGTCTCTAAAGGGGGTTTGGGGTCCCTGGAGGAGGATTGGGGTCTCTAAAGGGGGTCCTTGGGTGGGTTTGGGGTCCCTAAAGGGGGATTGGGGTAGTTTAGGGGGTCCTTGAGGGTCCTAAAGGGGAGTTTGGTGTCCTTAAAGGGGGTTGGTGTCCTTAAAGGGGGTTTGGGGTCTCTAAAGGGGATTTCAGGGGGGTTTGGGGTCCCTGAAGGTGTTTTGGGGTGACTAAAGGGGGTTTTGGGGGTCCCTAAAAGGGGATTGGGGTCCCTAAAGGGGATTTTTTTGGGTCCTAGACACGATTTTAACCCTTTCCTTGCAGAGGAGTCCTTCGAGGGGCTGCAGGGCAGATTTCAGGATGGGAATTTGGGACTTTTTTGGGGTTTTTTGGGTGTTCTGGGTTGGATTTTTTTGGGTTTTTTTTGGGTCCTAGACACTATTTTAACCCTTTCCTCCCCAGAAGAATCCTTCAAGGGGCTGCAGGGCAGATTTCAGGGTGGGATTTTGAGGCTTTTTTGGGGTTTTTAAAGGGGATTTAACCCTTTCCCTGCAGAGGAGTCCTTCGAGGGGCTGCGGGGCAGATTTCAGGATGGGGTTTTTGGGTTTTTTTCGGGTTTTTTTTGGGTTTTTGGGGTCCCTGGGTACAATTTTAACCCTTTCCTCCCCAGAGGAGTCCTTCGTAGGGCTGCAGGGGGGGATTTTGGGGTGGGATTTTGGGTTTTTGGGGTTTTTAAAGGGGATTTAACCCTTTCCTCCCCAGAGGAGTCCTTCGAAGGGCTGCAGGGGGGGATTTTGGGGTGGGATTTTGGGTTTTTGGGGTTTTTAAAGGGGATTTAACCCTTTCCTCCCCAGAGGAATCCTTCGAGGGGCTGTGGGGCAGATTTCAGGGTGGGATTTTGAGGCTTTTTTGGGGTTTTTAAAGGGGATTTAACCCTTTCCCTGCAGAGGAGTCCTTCGAGGGGCTGCGGGGCAGATTTCAGGGTGGGATTTTGGGGATTTTGGGGTTTTTAAAGGGGATTTAACCCTTTCCTCCCCAGAAGAGTCCTTCGAGGGGCTGCGCATCGAGCCCTTCTCGAGCCCCCCCGAGCTGCCGGACGTGATGAAGCCGCAGGACTCGACCGGGGCCGCCACCGACCCCCCCCTGCCCTGAGCCCCCCTTTGGGCTCAGTTTGGGGGATTTTGGGGCTCTCGGGGCTGGGGGGGAGGGGAGGGAGGAAAAAACCCCAATAAAAAACCTGGGCAACGACTGGGGGGTCCGAGTGACATTTGGGGTCCCAAAGGGATTTTTTTGGGGCTCTCGGGGCTGGGGGGGAGGGGAGGGAGGAAAAAACCCCAATAAAAAACCTGGGCAACGACTGGGGGGTCCGAGTGACATTTGGGGTCCCAAAGGGATTTTTGGGGGGGTCCTGGGAGGAAAATTTGGGGATTTTTGGGGAGATTTTGGGGTCATGAAGGGGAATTTGGGGGAATTTTCAGGGTTATGAGAGAATTTTGGGGATTTTTGAGGGGATTTTGGGGTTTCTTGGGGCAATTTTGGGGGAATTTGGGGGTCCCAAAGGGATTTTTGGGGGGGTTTTGAAGGAAAATTGGGGATTTTGGGGGAAATTTTGGGGTCCAAGGCAATTATGGGAAATTTTAGGGGAATTTTCAGGGTTATGAGAGAATTTTGGGGATTTTTGAGGGGATTTTGGGGGGATTTTGGGGGTCCAAGGGGATTTTGGGGGGGATTTTGGGGGGGGTTTTGGGAGGAAAATTGGGAATTTTTGGGGGAAATTTGGGGATCAGAGGGAATTTTAAGGAAAATTTTGGGGGAAATTTCAGGGTTTTGAGAGAGAATTTTGGGGATTTTTGAGGGGATTTTGGGGTTTCTTGGAGGAATTTTGGGGTCCCAAAGGGATTTTTGGGGGGGTTTGGGAGGAAAATTGGGGATTTTGGGGTCATGAAGGGGAATTTGGGGATCAGAGAAAATTATGGGAATTTTAAGGAAAACTTAGGAGAATTTTGGGGGAATTTTCAGGGTTTTGAGAGAGAATTTTGGGGATTTTTGCGGGGATTTTGGGGTTCCTTGGAGGAATTTTTGGTTTTTTTGGCTCTTCCCACCCCCCTCCCTCCCCCGCAATGGATCAGCCCAAGCCCCGCCCCCCCAAGCAGAGACCACGCCCCCTCCATTTTGGGTCGTTTTAATGTAAAACAGGAAACAGAACAAAAAGGGGGCGGGGCTTGCAGATAAAATGGGCGGGGTCTGGAGAAAGGGGCGGGGTCTGGAGAACCAAATCTGCCCCAAAATCCCCCAAATCTGACCCAAAATCCCCCCCAAACTCCAACCCCCAGAATGGGAACTTCCAGCACAAAAAGCGACCCCAAAACTCAGAGATTTCACCCCAAACTGGGCAAGGTCACCCCAAAATCCAGCCCAAAAATCCACCCCAAAACTGGCAAGTTTCACCCCAAAATCCGCCCCCAAACTGGGCAAGGTCACCCCAAAATCCACCCCAAAAATCCGCCCCCAAAACTGACAAATTCCAGCCCAAAATCCGCCCCCAAAACTGGCAAATTTCAGCCCAAAATCCCCCCTCAAACTGGGCATTTTCACCTCCAAAATCCGCCCCCAAAATGGCAAATTCCAGCCCAAAATCCACCCCCAAAACTGGAAAATTTCACCCCAAAATCCACCCCCCAAATTGGGAAGTTTCACCCCCAAATCCGCCCCCAAAACTGGCAAATTCCAGCCCAAAATCCGCCCCCGAAATGGAGAATTCCGCCCTAAAATCCCCCCTCAAATTGGGCATTTTCACCTCCAAAATCTGCCCCAAATCCTCCCCCAAACTCAGCGGTTCCACCCCAAAATCCACCCCAAAGCAGCAGCTTTCACCCCAAAATCCAGCTGACCCCAAAAAGGACATTTTTACCCCAAAATCCGCCCTCAGAGCGGGCGTTTCCATCCCAAAATCCACCTGCAACCTGAGCGTTTTCACCCTAAAAACAACCCCCAAACTGGGCATTTTCACCCCAAAAACCACCCCCGAAATCCAGCATTTCTACCCCAAAATCCACCCTGAAGTTGGTGGCTTTTACCCCAAAATCCACCCCCAAATTGGGCGTTTTTCACCCAAAAATCCACCCCCAAATGGGATATTTTCACCCCCAAGTCCAGCCCCAAAATGGGAATTTTTACCCCAAATTCTGCCCCAAAAAAGGGAATTTTCATCCCAAGTTCTGCCCCAAAATCCACCCCTTAAACTGAGTGTTTTTACCCCAAATTCCACCCAGAAATCTGTCCCCAAAATGGGAATTTTCACCTCAAAATGGGAATTTTCACCTCAAACTGGGAATTTTTACCCCAAAATTGGACTTTTTGCTCAGAATTTTCACCCCAAAATCCATCCCCCAAAAGGAAATTTTCACCCCAAAATGGGAATTTTTTTTACCGGGAATTTTCACCCCAAAATGGGAATTTTTTTTACCGGGAATTTTCACCCCAAAACGGGAATTTTTACCCCAAATTTCACCCCAAAACCCATCCCCCAAAAGGAAATTTTCACCCCAAAATGGGAATTTTTTTCCTGGGAATTTTCACCCCAAATTCCACCCCTTTAACCCAAATCCTGCCCCAAAATTCCACTTTTTTACCACAAAATTGGGGTTTTTTTTCACTTTCCCCGTAAACCCAACCCAAAGGGCGGGGCAGGGACCCCAAATCCCCCCGAAATGTCCCCAGATTTTCCCAAATTTCCCCAAATTTTCCCAAATTCCCCCCCCGATGCTCACCCCGCACGAGGCCACCGCGGTCACCCCCCGGTGCCACCTGCAATGGGCACCGGTCAGAAACCCCCAGGAATGGAGATTTCACCCCAAACCCACCCCAGAAATGGGAATTTTCACCCCAAAATCCACCCCAAAACTCCCAACTTTAACCTCAAAATCCACCCGAAAAATGGGAATTTTTAACCCAAAATTCACCCTAAAAATGGGAATTTTTAACCCAAAATCCACCCCAGAAATTGGAGTTTTCACCCCAAAACCCACCCCAAAATTCCAAACTTTAACCCCAAAGTCCACCCTAAAAATGGGAATTTTTATACCAAAATCCATCCTAAAAATGGGAATTTTGAACCCAAAATCCATCCTAAAAATGGGAATTTTTACACCAAAACTGGGATTTTTTACTCCTAAGTCCACCCTAAAAATGGGAATTTTTGTCCCAAATTCCACCCCAAAATTCCAAATTTTAACTCCAAAAACCACCCCAAACATGGGCATTTTCACCCTAAAAATGGGAGATTTCAGCCCAAAATTTTGAACTTTAACCTCGAAATCCAGCCTAAAAGTGGGAATTTCTAACCCAAAATCCACCCTAAAACCAGGAACTTTTATCCCAAATTCCACCCCAAAAATTCCAAATTTTAACCCCAAAAATAGGAATTTTTACACCAAAACTCAGATTTTTTACCCCTAAGTCCACCCCAAAAACGGGCATTTTCACCCCAAAATTCCGTATTTTAACCCCGAAGTCCACCCCAAAAATCGGAATTTTCAAACTTAATCCATCCTAAAACTCTGAGCTTTAACCTCGAAATCCACTCTAAAAACGGGACTTTTTAACCCAAAATCCACCCCAGAAATTGGAATTTTCACCCCAAAATTCCAAAATTAACCCCAAAATCCACCCTAAAAACGGGAAATTTTAACCCAAAATCCACCCCAGAAATTGGAATTTTCACCCCAAAATTCCAAAATTAACCCCAAAATCCACCCTAAAAACGGGTAATTTTAACCCAAAATCCACCCCAAAAATGGGCATTTTCACCCCAAAATTCGGTATTTTAACTCAAAAGTCCACCCCAAAAATGGGAATTTTTAACCCAAAATCCATCCTAAAAATGGGAATTTTTAACCCAAAATCCATCCTAAAAATGGGAATTTTTAACCCAAAATCCAGCCCTAAAGTAGGAATTTTAAACCCAAATTCCACCCCAAAAATGGGAATTTTTAACCCAAAATCCACCCCAAAACTCCCAACTTTAACCTCAAAATCCATCCTAAAAATGGGAATTTTTAACCCAAAATCCACCCCAGAAATGGGAATTTTCACCCCAAAATTCGGTATTTTAACCCAAAAGTCCACCCCAAAAATGGGAATTTTTAACCCAAATTTCACCCCAAAAATGGGCATTTTAACCCCAAAACTCTGAACTTTAACCCCAAAATCCAACCTAAAACTGGGATTTTTTAACTCAAATTCCACCCCAAAAAAGGGAATTTTTACCCCAAAACTGGGAATTTTTACTCCAAAATCCATCCCCACCCTGGGACTTTTTACCCTGAAATCCACCCCAAAATCAGGAATTTTTACCCCAAAACTCTGAATTTTAATCCCAAGATCCACCCCAAAATTGGGATTTTTTACTCCTACCAACCCAGAAATGGGAATTTTCACCCCAAAATTCGGTATTTTAACCCAAAAGTCCACCCCAAAAATGGGAATTTTTAACCCAAATTTCACCCCAAAAATGGGCATTTTCACCCCAAAGTCCATCCCAAAACTCCAAACTTTAACCCCAAAATCCAACCTAAAACTGGGATTTTTTAACTCAAATTCCACCCCAAAAAAGGGAATTTTTACCCCAAAACTGGGAATTTTTACTCCAAAATCCATCCCCACCCTGGGACTTTTTACCCTGAAATCCACCCCAAAATCAGGAATTTTTACCCCAAAACTCTGAATTTTAATCCCAAGATCCACCCCAAAATTGGGATTTTTTACTCCTAAATCCACCTCCAATGTGGGAATTTTTACCCCAAAAATGAGATTTTTTTACCCCAAAACTGGGAATTTTCACCCCAAAATTCACCATCACAGCCACCCCAAACTGGGAATTTTCACCCCAAAATCCGTCCTCAAATCCGAACATTTTCACCCCAAACTCCACCAACCAAAACCAGACATTCCACCCCAAACTGAGTCCACCCCAAAACTGGGAATTCTAACTTTGTAACAAGACCCCAAACCTGGGAATTTTCACCCCAAAATTCACCATCACAGCCACCCCAAAATTGGGAATTTTCACCTCAAATCCACCCCAAAACCGAACATTTTCACCCCAAACTCCACCAACCAAAACCAGACATTCCACCCCAAACTGAGCCTTGAAATCCACCCGAAAAATGGGAATTTTTACCCCAAAATCCACCCCAAAAATGGGAATTTCTGCCTGAAAATCCACCCCAAAAATGGGAATTTTTACCCCAAAAATGGGAATTTTTACCCCAAATTTTACCCCAAAATTGAGAATTTCTACCTGAAAATCCACCCCAAAACTGGGAATATTTACCCCAAAAATGGGAATTTTTACCCCAAAATCCACCCCAAAATTGGGAATTTCCACCTTAAAATCCACCCCAAAACTGGGAATTTTTACCCCAAAAGTGGGAATTTTTAACCCAAATTTTACCCCAAAATTGGGAATTTCCACCTTAAAATCCACCCCAAAACTGGGAATTTTTACCCCAAAAGTGGGAATTTTTAACCCAAATTTTACCCCAAAATTGGGAATTTCCACCTTAAAATCCACCCCAAAATTGGGAATTTTTACCCCAAAATTAGGAATATTCACCCTAAAATCCACCACAAAATCAGGAACATTTACCCCAAAACTGGGAATTTTTACCTCAAAATCTACCCAAAAAAATGGCAGTTTTTTCACCCCAAAACCAGGTATTTTTACCCCAAATTTGGGAATTTTTACCCCAAAATCCACCCCAAATTTGGGAAATTTTACCCTAAAATCTACCCCAAAAAATGGCAATTTTTTCACCCCAAACCAGGAATTTTTACCCCAAAAAAGGGAATTTTCCCCCAAAATCAGGAACTTTCACCCCAAAATCGGGAATTTTTACCCCAAAATCGGGAATTTTTACCCCAAAATCGGGAATTTTTACCCCAAAATCGGGAATTTTTACCCCAAAATCGGGAATTTTTACCCCAAAATCGGGAATTTTTACCCCAAAATCGGGAATTTTTACCCCAAAATCGGGAATTTTTACCCCAAAATCGGGAATTTTTACCCCAAAATCGGGAATTTTTACCCCAAAATCGGGAATTTTTACCCCAAAAAAGGGAATTTAACCCCAAAATCACCAATTCCCCCCCACCCTCCCTTAGCCCCGCCCCTTCCCCGGGGCCCCGCCCCCGGCTCTCACCTCCACCAATCACGTGCAGGGGGAGGGGCCCAGCCCGGAGAGCGCCGACGCCGACTCCGCCTCCGGCGGGGATGTGGGCGGGGCTTCACCCTCAGCCACGCCCCCCTGGCGCCGCCTCCGCGGCGGCTTCGGGGCTAAAAACCCCAAATTCGGGGCCGGAAACCCCCCGGAATCCCCCCAAAATCCCACCTCCCCTCCCCCGCTACTGCGCGGGCGTCACCCAGCTGCCCCAGCTCGCCCCTCACCGCCGCGGCCGCCGCCGCCGCCCCTCCCCCGGCCCCGTACTGGTTCCCAGTTTGCGCCGCGTACTGGGCGGCCTCCCCAGCCTGCAGCTGGGCGCCGTACTGGGCATACTGGGCGGCGTCGCCGGCGCCGTACTGGGAGCCCTCGGCGCCGTACTGGGAGTACTGGGAGTACTGGGAGGCCAGCTGGGCGTACTGGTACTGGTACTGGGCCGCCGCCGCGCCGAGCTGGGCCGAGCCGGAGCCGAACTGGGCCGAGCCGGAGCCGTACTGGGAGGAGGCGGGGCTATACTGGGAGGAGGCGGGGCTGTACTGCGAGGAGGCGGGGCTGTACTGGGAGGAGGCGGGGCTGTACTGGGAGGCGCACTGGGAGTACTGGGAGTACTGGGCCATGCGGGCGGCCATGCTGGGCGTCATGGCGAAAGGGGAGGGGCTCCGCGGCGCGGCCCCGCCCCCTCCCAGCGAAGCCCCGCCCCTGCCGTGGTAGCAGCAGCCGCGGTGGCCGCAGGGGCTGACGCGATTGGCCGCCGCCACCGAGGCCACGCCCACGTTGCCGTGGAAGCGGTGCATGCAGGCCCCGCCCCCCAGGCGGGCGGAGCAGCCCAGCCCCGCCCCCAGGTTGCCGTGGAAACGGTGCAGGCAGGAGCCGCCCCCGCCCAGCCGAGGCCACGCCCCCCCGGACACGCCCCCCCGCAGGAAGGGGGAGGAGGGGGAGCGCGGGCTCCACCCCCCGCGCGTGGGCGTGGCCAGGAAGGGCGTGGCCGCCCGCTGGAAGGAGGCGGAGCCCGGGCTGCGGGCGGCCAATAGGGGGAAGGGGCCGCCGCCCCGCCCGGCCACGCCCCGCCCGGGGCGGGGCCCTCGGGGGGCACCGCGGGCGGCGGCTCCGAGCCGGGCGCGGCCGCGGGGACGGTGACGGTGGCCGAGGCGGCGGCGGTGACGGCAGCAACAGCGGGGGCGGAGCCCGGGGACCTGCGGGGACAGCGGGGTCAGCGGGGGTGGCACCTTGGGGACAGGGGACAGGGGTGGGGGACACCCTGGGAACACTGGGCATGGGTGGGTGGCACCCTTGGGGACACGGGACCCTGATTAGGGGACACTTGGGGACATGAGACACTGATGGGAGTGACCCTTGGGGACACGGGGACACCCTCAGGGACAGGGGACGGGGGTTGGTGACACCCTTAGGGACACTGGGCAGGGGTGGGTGGCACCTTGGGGACACGGGGACACCCTCAGGGACAGGGGACAGGGGTTGGTGACACCCTTAGGGACACTGGGCAGGGGTTGGTGACACTCCTGGGGACATGGGGACACCCTCAGGGACAGGGGACAGGGGTGGGTGACACCCTTGGGGTCAGGGGACACTGGGACACCCTCAGGGACATGGGACAGCGGTTGGTGACACCTTGGGGACACGGGACCCTGATTAAGGGACACTTGGGGATGTGGGACAGGGGTTGGTGACATCCTTAGGGACACTGGGCAGGGGTTGGTGACACTCCTGGGGACACGGGGACACCCTCAGGGACAGGGCACGGTGGTGGGAAGGACCCCTGGGGACACTGGACAGGGGTTGGTGACACCCTTGGGGACACGGGACATGGGTGGGTGTGGCCCTTGGGGACACGGGGACACCCTCAGGGACAGGGGATGGGGGTGGGTGACACCCTTGGGGACACTGGACCCTGATTAGGGGACACTTGGGGACATGGGGAAAGGGCTGGGTGACACCTTGGGGACACTGGCACCTTAGGGACACTGCACCCTAATTAGGGGACACCTTGGGACAGGGGCGTGGCACCCTTGGGGACACGGGGACACCCTCAGGGACACTGGGCAGGGGTGGGTGGCACCCTGGGGACACCGGACAGGGGTGGGCGGGGCCTTGGGGACACCGGGCAGGGGTGGGCGGAGCCTCGGGGACCCCAAAATGGGACGTTGGATGGGTCACGTGACCCCCCCCGGGGACCCCAACAGAGAAAACGGGGGCGTGGCCTCAGCAGGAGTGGGTGGAGCCCAATAAAAGTGGGCGTGGCTTAAATATAAATAAGTGAGGTTAAAAAGTGGGTGGGGCTTAATTAAAAATGGGTGGGGCCTAACTAAAAAGGGCATGGTCTGACAAAAGTGGGCGTGGCCTAATAAAAATATGGGTGGGGCCTAACTAAAAAGGGCAGGGTCTGACAAAAGTGGGCGTGGCCTAATAGAGATATGGGTGGGGCCTAAACGCTAAAGGGGTGTGGCCTAATAAAAGTGGGCGTGGCCTAATAAAAATATGGGTGGAGCCTAAGCGCTAAAGGGGTGTGGCCTAATAAAAGTGGGCGGGGCCTAATGTAAAACTCCTGGGTACGAGTGGGCGGGTCCTGACTGAAAGGGTGGGGCTTATAAGAGTGGGTGTGGCCTAAATAAAAATGGGCGGGGCTTAATAAAATGGGTCCAATGAAAGTGGGCGTGGCCTCGGTAAATCCACTTGGGGGTGGAGCTTGTGGCTGTCAGCGAATCAGGAAACAAAAGGGGCGTGGCCTGAGCTTGGGGGTGTGGTCAAGTGTTAAAAGTGGGCAGGGCTTAATTTTTGGCACGTCATGAGAGTGGGCGTGGCCTCACGCAGGGGGCGGGGCCTAATTTTGGGAAGGGGATTTATCCAATCCCTGAGGGGGCGGGGCCTAATTTAAACAGCGAAATTCACCCAATCCGTGCAGGGGGCGTGGCTTCATACAGGGGGCGGGGCCTAATTTCTGGAAGGTAATTAATTTAATCTACGTGGGGGCGGGGCCTAATTCCGTGAAAGGATCCCACCCAATCCGCACGAGGGGGCGGAGCCTCATCCAGGAGAGAATTCACTTCATCTGCATGAGGGGGCGTGGCCTCACCCGGTGGGCGGGGCCTGATTTTGGGGCGGGGGATCCACTCTGCACGGAAAGGGGCGGGGCCTCATTTCAGCACGGGAATCCACCCAATCCCTGCGAGGGGGCGGGGCCTACGGAGGGGATCCACGTGAGGGGGCGGGGCCTCACCCGGTGGGCGGGGCCGGCGAGGGCGGCCCGGAGTCGGAGTCGGAGTCGGAGGAGTCGGAGTCGGAGTCGGACGAGGAGGAGGAGGAGGAGGGGGAAGAGGAGGAGGACGAGGACGACGACGACGAGCTCTTGGGGGCGGCCGTGACCTCAGCGGTGACGTCAGCGGTGACGTCAGCGGCGGCCGGCGGCATGCTGGTCATACTGGGAGCACTGGGAGCGCTGGTGTCCATGGGGACGGCGTCGGTGCTGGTCGTACTGGGAGCACTGGGAGCCGCGGCTGGGCCGGGACTGGTGGAACTGGGAGCACTGGGAGCAGCCACAACGGTACTGGGAGCACTGGGAGCCGCAGCTGGGCCGGTACTGGGAGCACTGGGAGCACTGGGAGCCGCAGCACTGGTCGTACTGGGAGCACTGGGAGCCATGGCTGGGCCGGTACTGGTCATACTGGGAGCACTGGGAGCCACCACAATGGTACTGGGAGCACTGGGAGCTGCAGCCATGGTGGTACTGGTCATACTGGGAGCGTCGGGAGCTGCAGCACTGGTGGTACTGGTGATACTGGGAGCCGCTGCCATGGTACTGGGAGCACTGGGAGCTGCAGCACTGGTCGTACTGGGAGCACTGGGAGCGCTGGGAGTCGCAGCCATGATGGTACTGGTTGTACTGGGAGCACTGGGAGCCATGGCTGGGCTGGTACTGGTGGAACTGGGAGCACTGGGAGCCGCAGCACTGGTCGTACTGGTCATACTGGGAGCCATGGCTGGGCCGGTACTGGTGGAACTGGGAGCACTGGGAGCCGCCACAATGGTACTGGGAGCACTGGGAGCCGCAGCACTGGTCGTACTGGTCATACTGGGAGCGCTGGGAGTCGCAGCCATGATGGTACTGGTTGTACTGGGAGCACTGGGAGCCATGGCTGGGCTGGTACTGGTGGAACTGGGAGCACTGGGAGCTGCAGCACTGGTCGTACTGGGAGCACTGGGAGCCGCCACAATTGTACTGGGAGCACTGGGAGGTGCAGCCATGGTGGAACTGGGAGCACTGGGAGCCGCAGCCATGGTGGTACCGGTCATACTGGGAGCACTGGGAATGCTCTGAGGTGCAGCACTGGGAGCTGCAGCTGGGCTGGTACTGGTCATACTGGGAGCACTGGGAACGCTCGGAGGTGCAGCACTGGTCATACTGGGAGCACTGGGAGCCGCAGCCACCATCGTACTGGGAGCACTGGGAACGCCGGTACTGGTGACACCGGTGACACTGGGAGCCGCAGCACCGGTCAAACTGGTCATACTGGGAGTAGCAGCGCCGGTCAAACTGGTCATACTGGTCGGAGCCGGACTGGTCACACTGGTCATACTGGTGGCCCTCGGAGCGCTGGTGGCACTGGTGGCACTGGGGACAATCCCAGTACTGCCCACACCGGTGGCTCTGGCCGGACTGGTGGCACTGGGAGTGCTGGGACCGGTGGCACTGGTGACACTGGTGGCACTGGGAGCGCTGGGACCGGTGGCACTGGTGGCACTGGTGACACTGGTGGCACTGGGAGCGCTCTGAGCCGCAGCACTGGTGGCACTGGTGGCACTGGTGGCCCTGGTGACCCCGGGCGTGACGGTGACACCGCCAGCACCGGCCACAGCGCTGGCACTGGCGGCCTTGGTGACGGCGTTACTGGTCACACTGGTCACACTGGTGGCCCTGGGGACAGCGGCCAGCGTGGCCATGGCGCTGGCGTCGGCGCTGGCGCGCAGGATGGCGGCGCCCAGGGGGCTGACCCCGGCGGGGACAGCGGGGGTGGCCCTGGGGACAGCGCCCGGGGTGGCCCTGGTGACATCGGCGGCCTTGATATCCACACTGGTGACACTGGTGGCCATACTGGTGACATTGGTGGCCATACTGGTGGCCTTGCTGTCCGTGTTGGTGACACCGATGACCTTCTTGTCCACACCAGTGACACTGGTGGCCTTGCTGTCCACGTTGGTGACATCTGTGACCTTGCTGTCCACACAGGTGACGCTGGTGGCCTTGCCATCCATACTGGTGACACCGGTGACAACGCTGGCCTTGCTCTCGGCGTTGGTGACACCGGTGACCTTGCTGTCCACGCCGGTGACACTGGTGGCCTTGCTGTCCACATTGGTGACATTTGTGACAGTGCCACCCTTGCTGTCCATCACTGCCACCCCCACGGTGACACTGGTAGCCTTGGTGTCCATTCCGGTGACATTTGTGACACTGGTGGCCTTGCTGTCCACGTTGGTGACAGTGCCACCCTTGCTGTCCATGCCGGTGACGTTGGTGACACTGGTGGCCTTGCTGTCCATGCCAGTGACACTGGTGGCCTTGCTATCCACGTTGGTGACAGTGCCACCCTTGCTGTCCATCAGTGCCACCCCCACGGTGACACTGGTGGCCTTGCTGTCCACATTGGTGACATTTGTGGCAGTGCCACCCTTGCTGTCCATCAGTGCCACCCCCACGGTGACACTGGTGGCCTTGCTGTCCACGCCGGTGACGTTGGTGACAGTGCCACCCTTGCTGTCCATGCCGGTGACGTTGGTGACAGTGCCACCCTTGCTGTCCATCACTGCCACCCCCGCGCCGCCCTTGGTGGCCGCAGCCCCCGCGCTGGCCTTGGTGACGGCGCCGCCGCCCTTGGGGACATCGGGCTTGGCGCCGGCCAGCCGGGGCGGGGTGGCCTTGGTGACAAGGGACACGGGCGGCAGCGCCGAGGCGGCCACGGGCGAGGAGGGCAGGCTGAGGCGGGCGGCGGGCAGCAGCGTCCCCAGTGTCCCCAGTGTCCCCAAGGTGGCACCGGGCGGCCGCGCCAGCGCCCGCGGCAGCCCCGGGGAGATCGG